CAGCGGAGCTCCTGAGCAGCCATGGCACCTGCGTAGATCTCTGCCTCAGCACTAGACTGCGCCATAGACGAAGAGCGAGTAGTCCTCCACGACACGGCTCCAGAGCAGGGCTGTCGATTCACGTTGCCTGCTTTCCCTGAGAATTCAGGGTTGGTTTCGGCCCACCTTCGAAAATTTCAAGGTTGGTTTCCAAGGATGCCCGTTTTCCTAACGGACTGGTTTTGCCCTTGGGCCGGATTCTAACGGACTGGTTTCGGGCCTTGCCTGGATTTCCCGCGTCCCCACCTCCCCCTTCCCCCCTTCGAATCAGCCCGGATTTCCCGCGTCTTCCCCGTCCCCCCCCTCCTCCCCCCCCCTCCTCCCCCACACCCCCCACGGAACCTTCCCATCCTGCCATCTTTTGGGTTTCTCGACCCCACACGTTCCAGGATGGTTGGAACCAATGAATGCCCGTCGTCAGTCAGTTTGCCAAAACGGCTTCGTTTCCTTCCAGGCTCCAGTCCAGCCAATCTCCAAAGTCCAGCCAAACCAGAGCGCAGCGCACGCACTCGTAATTGAAACCACCCCAAGGCAGGAAGGAAACACCACCCCCTCCCTGACAAAACCACATTTTGGTTTAGTCGTCTCTTATAAACATTCTCTTGCTATCTTCCTTCAATGGAGGGTCTTAATGATCGCGCTCCTTGTGCGTTTATGAGCGGATTAGATACCCTAGCCGATCCGTGCAACTCATCCAGCTTTCCTAGTCTCAGCACTAGTGAAGACGACCAAGATGTAGATAGTGATATGGAAGTATCTGAGAACTCCCTAGAGGAGGTAAACAGACCTGTCACTAGGTCAGAGCCGTTGACATTTGATCTTAGGACGCGTTGAAAGTGCAAATATCGCGGGATCGCGAGCATAAATCGAGCCCCACAATCGAGTGGGCAGATCGATTGGCGAAACATGAAGACCGATACGTTGTAACGATCGCACCTGAGCTTTGTGGTGGATGTTCCAGGGCCGAGATTACTGCCCTGCCTGCGACTCGCACCCAAAACACATACGTCGTCCATACCCACCTGCGACACTCGCAGCCAACAGGGCAACCACCCTGGCGATGTGATGTTTACAGATTTCGCCAAATGTGGGCAATTTGGGCGACAGCGATTCCTGGCTCTGCGAAATTTCAGAAAGTCGCAGGCATCAGAATCAATCGCGCCAGGTAGGCTCGGTTCAAGAGCATCAATGACGCTTTGATGCCTCTCACTGATCTCCCGCGATCAGTGATCAGTCGCGTTCACACACTGTGCACAATTTTTGGCCAAAAACCGTACTGTAGCAAGGTTACAGCACAGTAAATAGGGTTACAGATCCGCACATCGTTCGCTACCCACGATCGATCGTCTACTTTCAACGCGTCCTTAACTCACCGGCACGCACAAGCACTGCTGCACCGCGTGGTCGTTACCATCAATCCTGCTTTAGTTTTGCACTGCCCCCGTCCAAAAAGAAGAAGCGTGTGCGGGGGGGGCACCACCACCACCAAAGCCTGTCCCTGAAGTGGACAACAAGTACGAGGTGGACCCTTCATTGCTGTAAAACGGCAAGTAGGAAATCCTAGATGCTGAGAAAGACCTTGCGCGTCAATTCAACCCTAATTGGAAAGGGACGTACCCGTGGCTTACATTGGAGTTCAACCCTGTGCGCTTGTAGTACGGCATGAGATGCAAGGCATGCCAGGTGCATGCTCCTAACACGAAACCGCCCTTTGGTAGTGGTGAGGTTGGAGCTCGTGATATCCAGAAATCTTCTGTCAAGCACCATGATAGTATAGGATTCATCTCGCTGCCATGGCAACTGAAAGTCTCGCTCAAGGGACTGAGGTGAAGCAACACAATATTCTGGATATGCTCAGCAACGACCCCATGCAGGCATGGGTGACGAAGTGCATGCAAGCGGCATATTGGGTTGCAAACGCGATTCTCCCATCCTCCTGTACCCATCACTTGTGCGCTTCATGGCCAAACAGGGCTGCCCGGACATGGTGAACGACAAGTCGTACGGGCGCTACTTTCCAAGGTATGGTCTATGTTTGTATTTGGCTAACTGGCTTCCTACCGTGACTTCTCTGTTTTATGTTGGTCCCACTTCCTGATTTCTCCGTTTTACGTGAGTTTAGGTTCACTATTTCATTGCATTGGCAGGTACTGATGTGGAGAGTTCGTCGAGGCCTTGGCGGATCATTTCGCCGAGCGGCAACTCGAAGACATTAAGAAGTCCATGTGGTACGGCCTCTCTTTTGACGAGTCCATTAATCGGGCTCGCGGCAAGCATCTCATAATGTACATCACCTTCGAACGGACGGAAGAAGTCGTCACCCAATTTTTTGGACTCATCACGGTGGACGAGTGTGCCTTGTACGCCTCCCGTGCCGTACCTGGACAGTAAGGGGCTGTCGATGGACAAACTCGTTGGTGTTTCTACCGACGATTCTTCTGTCATGACGTGCGACAAGAAAGGCGTCGTGAAGCTTCTCCAAAGGCGCTGTTCGTGGCTGGTTGCAGTTCATTGTGTCGCTCACAGGTGAGATCCTTGTTGATTTTCTTGTCATTCATCATTATTTTCTCTTCTAACAAACATTTGATTGTGATGCATTGCGTATCTTGCAGGGAAGCCCTGGTCGCGGCAAGAAGTTCCTTGAGTTTGCAATCATTGACACACAAATACGGCAAACTGCTGAGCATCTAGGCCGCTCGTCCAGCGATCGCAAGACGTTCATGGCCTTGCACGACGAGATCTTGAAGACCCAACTCGAGGTCTAGGGTATCTTTGCCGTGCGTTGGCTGTCGAGGGGAGACGATGTGGATCTGGAAGAAAAAGGACGCCGCACTGTACAAGACCGCATCAAGCTTTAAGCTTCATTTCATGCTCTACCTTTTGGCGGACATTCTCGAGCTTCTCAATGGCTTGAACCTCTTGTTTCAGAAGAGCCATGTAAGCACTTCTTGTTCCAATTTTCTAAACCTTGGATACGATTTCAACCATGTCTGCCCTTTGCGCATTTGTGTGATTCGCCTCAGATCTGCCCTTTCCCATTCCATTATTTTTCTGACCATTGTGCTTTCCTGTAATTTCACACTTTTTTCACTCTAATGAGTTATGCCCTTTGCAATTTCTTACAATCACTGCCCTTTGTGCTTTCGTTCCTGCCCTTTGTAGCAGGTCAACATAACCGAGGTCAAGGACCAGGTTGACAAAGTGAACCTGAAGCTAGAGCAGTGGTACGTGGAGCCCAATGCCACATTTGGCATTAAGACGTCCAAACTCGTGAAGTTCCTTGCTGCGCACAGCGACAATCGAGAAATTGTCATCACTGGTGTAGATAGCAAGGGCAACCACAAGACTTGCACTATGGACCTGCATGAAGAGCCCATTGGGTGTGGCAGGGGTGGTGACCTAGACTCGTGCTACGACCTTGCAAAGAGGTTCGCTATGAAGCTTGTCCAGACCCTTGGGAAGCGGATGGCAGACCTCCGCTATTTTGATAGTGTGGCATTTTTCTGCCCGGATAAATATCCCAAGCGTGCAGGAGATGGTGAATAGTGTTTTTTAGGCCACCTTGCCGAACTCCTGGACATGTTCAAGAACCGTCTGCCAGGTTAGTTGACTATGTTTCACTGCATAATGTGCTGTCTATGCTCTGTTTTTTTCAATACCTTACTACCGTGTATCCCATTACTCTTATGAGGAGGTGTGGCTTCTGCAGATATTGAGCCCGAAGTGAGGCCCTTCGCTGCCACTACGGAGACGAAGTTCAAGGGCCAAGGGTTTCACCAAGCCCTCACCAACATGCTCCATATCTCGGACTGGCAATGCGACTACCCGCTCATCGTCACCCTCTGGCGTGCCGTGACTGTGCTGCCCCTCAGCTATGTGGAATGCGAGCGGGGATTTTCGAGGCAAAACATCATACAAAGTTGGGATCGGATTGCTTTGAGCGGTGTTGGGCTAGGTGATTTAATTATTTAAAAAATGCTAGACTACTCTTTCGACTAGGGTGCGGCCTACACTTGGTTTAATTCTATGAAAGACGGCAAGCCGGCCAAGTAGGGAGTGTGGTGTGGTTGCTGCTGAACAGGATGTGCACGCTTTTTACTTAGCCTAATTTAGAGCAGGCTTAGTTGAATTTACTTAATTCCTTTAAGCATGTACGTTCCTGGCTGCAAATACACTATGCATGGATTTAAGGGTTCAGATTCGGCTCAGCCCTGATTTTTACGGGCCAAATTCAACCCCTTCCCGGATACTCCCGGATACTCCCGGATACTTCCGGATATATTCTGTGACAGCTGTCAGAAAACCCCTCTTCTGTGGCATCCCATGGCTTGTCCTCTCCTTCCTATATCCACCATCCCTTCCTCCTCCCGTGCTCTCTTCCTGTCTTACCTTCCCTTCTCTGCCGCAGCCACTACCTGCCCCCTCCAGAGCTCGTGCTCGGGTCTCCCGTGCATGTGTCCCTGAACACTCTCGCTGAGGCCAGTTGCTTTTCATCACCGCAGTATTCGTCAGGTGGTCCCCTGTCTTCTCTCCTCTCCCACTTTCCAGCCACGGCACTCCCGAACCTCCCCCCCAGATCCTTCGCCTTCCGTCTCTTCGTGCCTTACGCCATTCCCATAGTCTCCTCCTTCCTCCTCCGCGGATGGACTTCCTATCCCGCTTCCACTGCTGCCTTTGTCCTTGTTGCCGCCCTGCTGCAGCCGCCGCTCGTGCCTGTGTGCATCTCTCAACTGCACTGTATGCAAGTTCTCAAGGCTGCTGGAAGCATTTCCTTCAGGTACTTTGCCCTTGCTTCCGCCAGTGCCACGAAACTCTCAGCCCCTCCTATTCCCACTGTCTCTGTCACGAGTGTGGCTTCCCTCCCCTGCTTGCTCATTACCTCTCCCACCGTCCACTCGGCTTCTTCCTTTGCTGGCCAACCTGCCCATGCCCCCACTTTTCATCCTCCCCTTCCTCTCCCGCTACTGCTGGTATGCCTGTGCCCCCACCTTCTCTTCTTTCCCTTCCTCTTCCGCCGCTGCTGCTACACACGCCCGTGTCTCCACCCCCTCATCCTTCCCTCCCGCTTCTGCCGCTGCTGGTATGCACTCCTGTGCCCCCACCTTCTCTTCTTTCCCTTCCTCTTCCGCTGCTGCTGCCTCATCCTTCCCTTCCGCTTCCACCGCTGCTGGTATGCACGCCTGTGCCCCCACCTTCTCTTTCTTCCCTTCCGCTTCCGCTGCTGCTGGTACACACGCCCATGCCCCCACCTTCTTGTCCTTCTCTTCCGCTTCTGGTGTTGCTGGTATACACGGCCATGCCCCCACCTTACTCACTTGCTCCCTTCGTCCATCCCTGCCCCCACTGCGCAGCCACATGTCTGCATGGCTACGCAGCACCGCAAAGGAGTACTCTGGCTTCTTCTCCTCTCCCTCCTTCTCCTCTTCCTCCCCCACGGGCAACCCCACCTGCCTTTCTGATGAAATTCCTAGCGCCTGCTCTTTCCTTCCATCCCTGCCCCCTCTGCGCAGACCTGGTTCCTCACGGCTGCGCAACGCCAGGAATGTGTACTCTGGCTCCTGCCCCTCCTCCTCTTCTGCTTCTTCTTCCCTCACGTACAACCCCGTCTCCCTTTTCTTCCTCCCTCCGAGGGCCTGCAACTGCGCCTGCAACTTCCCTATCTTGCTCTCGATCTCCTCTGGTGACCTTTTTGGCCCGTCTGTACTTGAATAGCAGTCCTTTTGCTGATGCCCCTCTTCCCACACACCTCGCAGGTTGGTGCCTCTGGGCGCTCCCGACAGCGGTGCCCTGGTTTGCCGCATACATCACAATTTCTGCAATCCTTCCTCACATGTTTTGCCTGCCCGCATCTGTAACACGTCCTCGTGTCTGCCCTTCTCTCCAGCCGCTGTTCCTCTCTACTATCTTCCCCTGTATCATTACCGCAGCCCATGTCGGTCGCTTCTTCTCCGCTGCCCTTGGTAGGTATGCTTCGTAACGTCTCTGTGCCAGTTCCACCCTCTCTGCCAATTTGAACACCTCCTCTAGCGTAGCCTCCGCCCCGAACTCATACACTCTCATTTTCAGTCCGCCGCTCAGTCCCTCATTTAGTCCCCCCAGGAACTTGCTGATAAACATACTGCTGTCCGTACACACCACATCCTCTGCCAGGTTCGTCAGCCTTCCAAAACATGTCAGCAGTGACTCTGCATTCCCGCGCCTGAACTCTTGAAACTCCCTAATGCGACCTGCCGTGTGCCCAAGGAACTGCTTCCGCAACCGATCCAGAAACAGAGTCGTCGGGTCGTCTCCATCCTCTTCGGCTCGTCTCAGCCACTCGCGCAACTTCATGCGGTACAAGGTCTCAGCTTCGCCTCCCAGCGGGTTGGGTAGGTTGAAAAAGAACTCAATGGGGTCCATTCAGCTGCAGTCACATCTGTACTTCACGTTTCTGATATGCATTAGGTAGTTCTTCAGATTCGTCCTTGTCCCTTCATTCCCCGTAAAACGCACTGGCATCTCCCCTCGAGGTGGGGCCTGCATACTCCACCTCCCCGTCTCCCATGTCCCTGAGATCGACTTATTCCTTCTGCTACTCTCTTCTCTCATCTCCCCCGACGTCCTGCTCCTTGACTCTGCCCCGTACATCATTCGATCGATTCCTTCCCTGGCTGCCCTTGCTTCCCCTGATCCCTCCCATGCCGTTGACTGCCTCCCGTGCCATACTGGGCTCGGGCTCCCCCTCCCCTCCTTCTTTTCCCATTTCTCCCTTCGTTCCGCAGGGGACCCTTTCCAGCATCTCTATTGCTTACCGTTTCGGTGCCGCTCCATACTATACTCATATTCCTCCTCTTCACTTTCTGTCTCCTATTCTGGCGACCTCTCCCCTCTTCTGCGTCGCTCCTCATCGCTCCATCTTATCTCCTCCCTCCCCTCCTTCCTCCCAGGGGATTTTTTTTTACAAAGTCTCTCTCGTCCGCCCGATCCTCGGCGCCCATGATCCTCTCTTCTCCCTTCTTTGCCACTTCCCACGTCCTCCCCTAGAAACACCTGTTGCTGGTAGCGGTCTTCCTCACCCCTTCTCTTTTGTTTCTCTTTCTCCTACCTCTCCCTTACCTCTCCATCAGGTTCCTGCACAACCCCTGCTCCCGCGCACGGGTACTCTTTTCTTTCTTCATGGCGCACTCTCGCATTTGCCTCCGAGAGGTACTGCGACGAACGCTCACTGCCCGTGGCACGCGCTTCCCTCTCCTCCTTCCGCTGCCGCGCAGGCGAGTGCTGCGTGCGCCTCTTATCGCGGTCGTCCTCCCCTTCCTCTCCCCACTGCTCTGGTGATCGCCATCCACCCAACGACATGCGCCTCCCGCGCTCATGTCCGCGTCTTCGCTCAGGCGAGCCATACACTTCTGCGTGCGCGTCTCGCCTCCTCTCTTCTTCACGACGGGCTTCTGGCGCGCGCTCAGCCTCCTTGCCTTCGCCGCGCCTTGCGTTACTTCTGCGCAACCCTTCTAGCGAGCGATCTGCATGCGCCATTTCTCGGAAGCTACTCACTGAAGAGGAAGCTACTGCTCGGGGTTAGCTCGGCAGACTCTCCTGGCCTGCTTGGCTCAGATCGCTTGCTTGCTAGGATTGGCTCCACTCCTACTTGGTGCTAGGGGTTTCGCCAGCCTCAATTGTTGCTCAGTGTGAAAACAAACTCGCAAGCAAGGATCTCCTACTTGCCCTATTGCTTAAGTATTTCCTACCAGTGGTTACCGTTGCCGAGCAACGGTGCTTTCGCACAGTTCAATTCCCTCTCCCACTCGAACATTCCCTTTTTCCCCTTGCTTCGCTACAGGATACTTTCTCTACTTCCTATTGTCATGCTTTTTATCTTCATTGTTTCTACTCTATGATTAAAAGCATGACAGCTGTCTGAAATCTCTCCCTGCCTTGCCTTGCCTTGCCCTGCCCTGTCTTCTGGCTGCTTTGCTCTTGCCTGCTCCTGGTTTTCCTTGGTTGTTCCTCTGCTGCACCTTGTCTTCATTGCTTCAGTGCTCTCAGCTCTCTGGGCATCTGCCTTGCCTTGCCACTTGCATCCTGCACTTGCCCCCTCCTCGGCTGCTTAGCTCCTGCTGCGGGCCGATGGACCCTTTCTTCTCCTGTCTGCTGGTTTTCTTCCTCCCGTGCCCCTGCTGTGTCCTCCTTTCCTCCTCTTCTTGGTCTGGCTCGGGCCACGTTGGTCTGGTGGTCTTTCCTCTCCTTCCCTGCCTCGCTTACTAGCACCACCACCCCTGACTCCTTCACCTCTTTGACTCTCCACCTTTCCTTGCTGAGGCCTATGTCCATCAGGTCGTGCTTCGCTTGCTTCAAGTACACCTCCTCCCCCACTCCCAGCTGCTTCTCCTTCTTCTCTCCCATGCCCTCTCTCCTCTTTTTATATCGCTGTGCGTCTCTGAGCTGGGCCACATGCAGGTTCTCCAGTGCTGCGGGTAGCAGTTCCCTCACATACCTGGCTCGTGCCTCTGCCAGCCCCACCCAATTCTCTTCTGACGCCACTGTCACTGTTCCTGTCAGCAGCCTCGGCGCATCTACTGGCAGTATGGGTTCTCTTCCCAGTAGGAGGTAGTAGGGAGACAGGTCCTTCAGTGCCGCCTGTTTGCTGAACCTGTATCCTGCTGCTACCCAGGGCAGTCTTGCATTCCAGTCTCGCTTGAATTTCTCTCCGTATGCCCTCAGTCCCCTCTTCATGGTCTGGACAAACCTCTCTGTGAGCCCGTCACTCTGGGGGTGGTACCGTGATGTCCTCCTGTGTGTGATCCATGTTGCCTGTAGCAGCTTCTCGAACTCTCCCATGAATTCCGTCCCTTGGTCTGTCAGGACTTCTCCACACGCGTCGAATCTGGTGAGGACTTGCTCTTCAAACGCCTCTGCTATCTTCGCCGAGTTCTTGCTGGGTAGAGCCTTCAATTCTACCCACTTGCTCCCATGCTCTATCATGATGAGTATATATCTCTTTCCTCTGCGGCTCAGCGGAATCTCTCCTGCCAGGTCTAGGGACCACCTGAACTTCAATCCTCGTATGGGCAGTGACTGCAACTCTTCTCTCCCTCTTTCCAGCTCCGCCTTGTTCCTGCTGCACAGCTCGCACGACGCCACCCATTCTTTTATTCCTCTCCTAATTCCAGCCCACCACCATCCGGTCTCCACTAGCTGGCTGGTCCTTAGGCTTCCGTAGTGCCCCAGCCTTCTGTGCACCTTGGCTATTATCTCTTCCCTTTCTCCTTTCCTCGGCACCAGTCTCCACCCATCCTTCGTGTTCTTCTGCAGCTGCTCTTGGTACCATCTGTAGTGCACTCCCCTTGCCCTTGCTCGCTCACTGGCTGGCTCTGCTTATGTGGTTTTCCCTTGTATCCAGCTCAGCACTTCTTCATCCTCCCACACGTCGTCTGGCCCTCGATCCTGCTTCTTTCTGGCTCCTTCCCCGTCGATCTCTCTGGCTAATGCAACCAGACACGCGGTTGGGCTGCTCGGTGGAGGGTTTCTGGACAGTCTGTCTACATGCTGTAGCGTTTTCCCAGGTCTGTGCCGGATGGTGAACTCGTACTCCTGCAACCGCATCGCCCACCTGGCGTTTCGGCCTGTGAGTATCTGGTTTGTCATCAGCCAGGTCAAGGTTTGGTGGTCTGTCACCAAGGTAAAGGGCCTGCCCTGCAGGTATACGCGGAAGTGGGTGACCCCCCACACCTGCCAGTCCTTCTCCCTCGTAGGAGCAGTAGTTGGCCTCTGCAGGGTTGCAGCTCCTGCTGGCGAAGGCTACTACCATTTCCTGCCCTTCCCTCTCCTGACACAGTATGGCTCCCATGCTGGCGCTGCTCCAGTCGGTGTAGACCACAAAGGGGTTTTCCTTGCTGGGCAGGGTTAACACCGAGGCTGTCTTTACCTCATTGAGCAGCGCCTCCAGTGCCCCCTGCTCTGCTTCTCCCCACTGCCAGGCCTGATCTTCCCGTAGCAGTCGATTCAGTGCTGCTGCCGTTCGGCTGAAGTTGGGCACGAACTTGCGGTAGTAGTTCAGGAAGCCCAGCACCGCCCTGAGCGTTGTTCTGTCCTTGAGTGCAGGCACTCGGTTTAGCACCTCTACCTTGGCTTGCTGGATGCTCATCCTTCCCCCTTGCACCTCGAAGCCCAAGTACTTCACTGAACTGAAGCCGCACTCACACTTCTTCGGGTGGCAGGTCAGTCCTGCTTCCCGGGTGGCCTCTAGTGTTGCTTGCACGTCTTTGACGTGCTGCTCTGGGCTCGGACTGAAGACTTAGACGTCGTCTATGTAGCAGGCGGCTGCTGGCACGTTCCTCAGTATTGCATCCATCACCCGTTGAAATAGCGCCGAGGCATTCTTCATGCCAAACGGCATGCACCTCCATTCATATAGTCCGTCAGGCCCATGGAAGGCCGTCTTCTTGCGGTCCTCTGCCTTGATGGGTATCTGATTGAACCCTTGCCTGAGATCTAGTGTTGAGAACACTGCTGCTCCTTGTAGCTTGTCAAATATCTCTTCTGCGGACTGCATGGGTACCTGTCTGCTACCGTCACTTTGTTTAAACCCCTGTAGTCCCCGCACATTCTCCTTGCTGACACTTCCCTGTGAGGTCTTTCCTAGCCGCCACCACTGTCGCCGCCGCGTAGTCACTCTCTGAGCGTTGTATCAGCCCTGCCTCCAGCAGCTCCGCGCACTTTTCCATGCATGTATGTGTATATGTATATATATATCTCCCAGGCTCATCCGCCTCTTTCTTTGGTAGATGGGCATCTCCGTGGTCAGCTTAATCTCCATGACGTGCGTCTTGCACTCTCCCAGTTCTTGCAGCGTGTAGGCAAAGATCTGCCTGTGTTGCTTCAGTACTTTGTGCAGTTCCTCAGCTGCTTCTGCCCCCATTCCTTCGCCTATGGGCCAGTCATCTTTTGGTGCCCTCTCCTCTTCCTTATCCTTCACGGCTCCGGCTCTCGCCACCCCTTCTGCTTCCTGCTCCTGCCCCTCGGCCCCTTCACACTCTAGGGCCATGAATGCCCATCCTTCTCTGATCCTTGCTTCCTGCTGCTCTTCTATGGGTTGCAGCTGCCTCCTCCTCTCCACTTCCAGATCTTCTTGATACCTCTCGCTTATCTCTATTTCCCTCTGAATCTCCTTTGTCTCGAGATGCATGCGGATTGTCTCGATCAGCCACCTCATGACATTGAGATCCATGGCTCGCCCCATCGCTGCCCTCCTCTGCTTTTCGGTCACCCTTGGATGCGCCGTTGCATCCCATCGGCGACCCATGGCTGCTTCTCTCTCCCGCGCGCTCGGCTCTTCGCATCTCCCACTCTTTACGTCATATACCATCCCTGGCCCTGGGAGCTCTCCTTCCATGCAGAAACCCCTGGCCCCTTCGTATGCTACCAGGGTGGGCAGCGCCTGCTGCGGTTTCCCCGGTTCGTTGCACTGGTACTGTGAGGGGTGATAAGGGATCTTTTCTGGTGCCGGCAATCGATTAGGCCCCAGAATGTCGCTCACCAACCTCGGCTCCGGCCTCTGCATCTGAGAGTGCCTCAGACACCCCATTTTGCAAGTGAGTGCCTCAGACAGGCCTCAGACACCCCATTTTGCCAGTATCTTCTGGGCCGATGTGCCCTGGATCCCAGCTGTGCTGCGTCTGCTGCCACTCCCCTTCCCACCGCTGCTTCTATCTCGGCAAAGTCTAGCTTCTCCGGGTCTCTCTTGTCCTCGGCCAAGTCCACATTCTCCAAGATGTAGAGCACCTCCCCTTGTTTCCTCTGTATCATCTCCAGCACCTTCTGCAGGTCCTTGAAGGATGCCCCCCGTGGGTCCTCCATCCCTCTCCCTTCTCCCGCTCGTAAATATCCCTGGCACTCCCATCCCGCCACCACTAAGTCCACCTGCCCCCACTTCTCTAGCTGCTCCTCGGTGATGTCCCTGACATCATCTACTGTCGCCTCTTCTTCTGCGGGGATGGCCGTGCTTAGCATCTGCTGGGGGTAGTCCTCAAGCAGCTTTAGTGCGTGGTGTCTGGCCATTCTGCGCACCACGGGGTCCTTTTCCACATGTACCCATTTCCTGATGAAGCAGCCTTCCTTCAGCGCCGCGGCTAGGCCTGTCCCTATGCCTCCGTACAGCTCCAGCACACACAGTGCGCTCTCCAGCGCCCACACGCGGCTTATCCTTTCCTTTAGTGAGGGAGGGTCCTCTCCTTTCACCCTCCGTTCTGTCCTGCCCTCGTACTCTTGCGCATATTTCTCCCAGCTCCAATCGTCCAACTCTCCTGAGAGATCCTTCTTTTGCGCTTGGTAGGCTTCTCTCGGCTCCTGCCTCACAAACT